GTCCTAGCTTTTGAAATGCATTTTATTTATGCATTTGATCATAAATTCAGCCACATCATGCAATGTTTGGCAAAAGCAAAACCAAAAAAGAAATCGCCATAAAATCAGCTACTTCACTCTCCTCCCCTCTGAAGGTTTGCATCAAGGGTGAGACAAATGCCAAGCAAAAGTGAAGTGGGTGGAAGGAAGAGAGCATAATAAATAATGAAAGATGCAATGAATCAGAGCCCTTAGGTAATCAATACTTAAGTCATGAAGATACTAAAAAGAAATAAGCCCTGTCCCTATCTCAGGACTGTGTATCTCACACTTACATTGCCATCAAGAAAGAGCGTTCTGTAGAAATACCTGTGCAGAAATGCTACCCCCAGTGTGCCCCGCACCCCATGGTGCAATACTGTCTGCTAGAGTCAAAAACTCAGCGGGTGTTACAATTTTCAGAGTGGTGTTGTGGGTGATTTGAAAAATACGACAAGTTTCAGATTCAGAGGAGTCTATCTTTGCTAATACAAATGTATGGGGGAAATAAACTGCACCCCCAGCTTAGTATCTAAGTCAGAAAATCTACCTTCCTAGGTATTAATTTTCATCCAAAAGCTTTGTGAGCCTGCAGCAGTATTAAAAAAATGTATTTTTTTCTGATCCACTTGAAATGAAATCCTTTGCTTTTGCCACATAGCAGCAATTATAAAGCCCTTATCTCCCAGATCACATTAATTTTGCCTACAATAGAGTCACCTTCTTTTGCTCCATTTTGGTGAGTGTTTGCATCAGCCCCCAATCCAAGTCCGATAAGCTGTGCAGTGAAGAGCTGTGTACACTTTTCCCTCCTAATCAGATGCTAGGCAACTTCCATGCAGACGATTGTTGTCTCCATTTTGGTCAACAAGTCCCATTGGTCCTGGGTTTTAGTTATGCTAAGTACTTCAATCTTATATTACCTGTGGCCGATGTTTCAGCGGCAGCGTTACAACTGTCTGGTGGGGGCTGCAGGGTTTTTCAAAGCACGAATGGCCTTTACCCAGCCTGCTGCAGCCGTGCTCCCTTCTCGACTGCTCCCAGCCCTTCCGAAAGCCCCTCGTGAATGCGTCTCTGTGAGAACTGGATGGTCGTCCACGGTGAAGGTTTCTGGGAACACCCTTCTCTAAACGGGTCACAGACATTCCTGCCAGGGCCTCAGGGATTTGGGGAGCTGACGGCTGGCATTGGAGGAAGGGTGAGGTCAGTGCCTCATCCCTCCCAGAGAAAGAAAACATCTTGGCTTCTCCAGGACTGTCAGAAATGGTGTTAAAAAATGAGAATTGCTTGCAGGCAAGGGGGTAGCCATATATCCAGAAACGTGCTGGTGAGGGCAGCCACCTGGGAGTGGAGGGATTGCTCAGCACCCCCTTTGCCCTGCCAGCGAGGGGGAGAGCGGTGCTCTGGTTCTCCCACGGCAGCCTGTGTCCGGAGGCACGGGAATGCGTGTTTGTCACGCGCGTCTCACTGAGGAAATGCTAAACTGGTATTTCAGGAGGAGTTACAGAGGTGCTGACGTTTCCAAGTGCAGTCGACGTAGGACACACTGTGAGATGGCGGGGGGGTGGGGAGGGGAGTTACTTAAAATACGGTGCTTGAGTAAATCTCTCGTGCTCTATAGTGATTTGCAGCAGTGCAGTAACCTGCTGTCTGCAGCAGCAGCACTGAACTGCATTGGCTGGTCATGCCTCCTTCACCTGGGGTGAAAGCAGTAACTACCTGGCAGACAGCGAGAAGCCCAGGTAATAAAAGTGCCGAAGGACAGGCTCATTTCTTTTCCCTCATTTGAGTGGTTGAGAGCAGCTGTCCTTCGTGTCTCGCTGGCTTCGAGCAGTAGGGAATATTTGCAAAGTCACCTTGAGCTACTGCTGAGCTCCCAAAATTTGGCCACGCACTTTCTGTGGTGCTGGCAATTGATGTGTGCAGCAGAGCAAGGGCTGTGGAGCCATTACAGCTTGGCGAGTCCGTTTAAACCACAAAGGGAGACGTTACTCTGAGACAGATTTTACAGAGTGTATTGGTTTAATCCTTGCAATTAGGTATATGTTGATTATCACAAGTGACTGAATAGAGTTGTAGCCATGAATCCTAATTTATATTAGAAGCACACAGAACTTTAGCCTTTATTTCTTAAAAATGTTTATGTCGGCAACCCTGGTTTGCAGTGGAGCATATTTGTCATTTGGAGAAGAAACACCCAGGTTGTGAACCTACATGCTGGATCTGAACCACAGCTAGGCACAGAGCAGCCTACAGCAACAGCGTGAGCCTATCTGCCTGGCAGCGTCCCTGAAATCCCTTTGCGGAGTTGACGTGTGCCATAAGGGCTGCATCTGGGAAGCACACCATGTGCTTGGTCAGAAAAGGACATCAGTACGCAGGGAGACGTGGGCAGTAAAGCACCTTCAGTATGCTGCTGATCGTGGTATTCTGCATGGCTGTGAGCGCTCTGCAGAAGGGTTAAAACGCGGCTTAGCAGCTGACTAAGCTGGTTTCATACGCAGGTAATTAATTCTTTGCTACAAAGATCACTGTGTTAAACGTGATAATCCAAATCTGCGGCATGGTCCCGAACAGCTTTCTACTGCAGCCATCCACAGACAGTGCTCTCACAATTCACTCCTGCTCATGGTATGAAATCAGCCAGCCTTGCTTATCTGTATCTGTGGCTATTTATTTCGTGATCCAACCACACAACGACAACATAGGCATCACAATTGAGAGCGCACAAGTATCATTAGTGCCATGAGATGATACAGTGCACAGTTTGGAAGCCACCAGCAGTTGGAGATTTTCTTACGTCTGTGTTAATTCTTAGCACTTCTTTTCTAAATGTGGATATGCTGCAGAATTGCTTTGAACAGCAGGGATGCAGGGGAGGTCAAGATGCTTGGGAGGTCAAAAAAAAAAAAAAAAACCCACTATTAGAGGTCACTTCTGACAATATTGAACATTTTCTTTCCATCTCAGTTCTGACTTGTGTTTTCATCTCTCCCTCACTGCTGGGCATATGTGGACCACATGCTTTGCTCACATCTGCCAACTGAAGCGTTGCGGTCTGTTCCATTGGTCTTCTGCTGTAGGAGTACACAAGATGGAAAAGCTTCACCTACTGTAATATTTTATTGCTGGGCTGATAACGTATTTGACAAGTTGCTTCCAAGTGCAGCTTTGCATTGCTTCAGAACAAGTATTTCTGCTCCCTCCCCTGTAACTGTTTGGTTCTGCATAAAAGCCTGAGCTCACAAGACAAATACATGGCCATGTGCACTGATTTAAAAATCTACCTCTAGGTTTGAGGCTGGCATTATATTAAATGAAAGCAACCGTACTGTTAAGCTGAGCAGTTTAGTTAAAACTCCATTTAATCGCTTACCTGTGATGCATACATCTTGTGCACTCCACACATTACTGCTGTCTACATAAATTACTGAAAAAAGAAAACAAAATAATTTTTTTCCTGTTCTTTTTCAAACGTCTCTAATAAAACAACCATGTTTGCATTTAGGGCAAGACTGCATTGTCCTCAAACCTCCCACAGAACAGCTGTTCTCAAACACATGCCTTCCGAAGTGAAATTTTACAATTAACCTGTCCCCAAGAAATGCTTCTCAGAAGAGAGTATTTTTTCCCCTCCAAAAATTAAAAAGTGATGAATTTTATTTTGAATTTATGAAGTAAGAAAAACTCGTTTGCAAACTGAACATTAGTTGAAGCAATTATAAAATATATAAAATCCTTTCAAATAACTTCTAAAAAAGTTTTCTTTCAAAAAGCTTGCAGAGAAGATGCACCACTGCACCCAGCAGACATCTATTTGAGCACTGGACTAGTGCTATCTGAAGAGAAATAGTGTTTACAGATTCAGTATCTCCTGCAGCATTTGGATTTGTCTGGGAATCCTTTCAGACCCTGGGTTTGCTCCAGCTCCTGCTCAGTTGGTGGGAACCCCTCCACAGTCTTTCCTTGGAGCAGGCTCACATTTTTACTGAGCACTGACACAAAGCCAGTCTCTCCCTCAGGCTGAAGATAAATGATTTCTCTGGTGAGCTCCCAGAGATTTTCGCCCACTGCAGATTTTGGGAACTGTGCCCTGAGGCTGCGCTCCTGCTGGTCTCACCTCTGGCAAGGAGAGGAGATGCATGCAACAAAATGTTGTTCACATTTTCAGGGGAGAGATTTTTCTCAGCGAGACTCACAGCCCCAGGCCAGAGTCCTGAGGAATAACTAGTATTTTTGAACACTTACAGTTTGAAGAGGTACCAGTATCTGAAGCCTCTCTGTAAAGAAAGGGTGTTGAGTGTTAGTGCCTCGTAGAACAGGACTCCCATCTTGTTAATAACGAAATAAGAAACTTGAATAGACCTGACTCTCTCTCTTGAGATGAAGGGCAGCCTTCTAGACTCTGCTTGGCTCTCCTTGTAACTGAAGCAGAGGAGCAGAGGACACATGGTCCTTGAACAAACAACGGTCAGAGAAATTTGCAGGGAACATTTTGCAAGTAAAGAAAAGGATTTACCTGTTCCACTTAACTTGGTTGCTGAGTTGACCTGAGAAAGATGGAGAAGAGTCTTTTACAAAGCTGGCCATGCATTCAAGTCTAGGACATAGGACTGTGCCCCTGGATCTCACGGTCAGTGATAAACTGGGTGGGGATGAGGGTGGGCCAATGAAGAGTATTTTTCTTGAAAGCATGACTGAGCACCCAAAGACTCGGGAGGTAGGTGGGAGAAGGAAACCACATCAGATGGAGAAGGAGCTGGCCTTATGCTGGTGAGGGGCATACCTCTTCTTTGTCATCTCCAGAAACAGCCTTTCTGCTCCCTTCACCCTCCCCTCCCCAACACCCCCAGGATCCCATCCAAATCCTCATCCAGCCCCAAAAGGCCACAGCGGACGGCAGCCTGGCTCACCACACCCCCCAGCTGGCTGCTTTCCCTCGGCCAGCGGTGCATGCCGGCGGGTCGGGGCCGATCGCTCACCGCGCACGCCTTGCAGCAGCGCGTCCACGCGACTCGAGAAGTCCTGCATCAGCCAGTGGTACTGGTTGATACTGGCCTGATCCAGCTGCACCACCACCTCGTTCATCCTCTGGACGCTGAAATTCTGACTTGCAATCCTAGGATACAGACAGCCATTTCACCAAGAAAACCCATTTAGCATTAGAAACTTAACAAGGTCCTTCGTTAGGAAGCACTTTACAAAGTAGAGGGTGTGTCAATGGAGGAAGTATCAGGTAAATAGCTCTGATAAGGTTAAATGAGTTGCAATTCTTATACACTGTTATTTATTTGGCGATGCCTTTTCCCTACCAAACCTGGATGGGAGCTTTCAAATGCTGAAAATGAGAAAGGGGGAGGCGTTTTGCTAATACCCTTGTGCAAATACTGATTCGACCTGCTGCAGGCAGGCTCTTTCTGGTCTAGCACAACTGCCGTCGTGATAGAGAGAAAATGCCAAATTTATTAAATGGTGTCCAGGCTTCTGGAAAATGACTTTGATCCCACAGGCTAGATTCTGACTTGCGGCACAGCTGTGAGTAATGGACCGTGCTGCTGCCAGCGCAGGCCCTAGGTACATGGCCATTTGAAGTTAGTCGCACAATCCAAGTCCAAACTCAGCTTTAATTTGTGCAAGTGACAGAGATGACATCTTAAAATCCACCTAGATGCTTGAGCTAGCTCTTCACGTGGCTGGGGAGTTTAGTGCTGCAGCAAAACTTCTTCTGGATCTGTAACGTCTTGTTGGTGTGGTTTTGCACCACTGAATTACAGCTGACACCCAGGTATCAATTAGAAGTGATAAGTTATAAATTAAACTTATCACTTGCAAGAGAAGGGATAATAAATCTGTCCAGATATTAAGCTTGTCCACGAGCAAAAGCAAAAATCGTTGGGAAATGAGCCAATTACCTCTGCAGCCAAAGGCTGTTCACTGGGACTTACGTGCAGGAGTGTCACCAATACGCATCCAAGAGAGTGTTGCTGTAAACTAAACCCTATGGGCTTCATCTATGATAAAAATGTTTTTCTGGTAATAAAAGCCAATGTTTTTCATCAGAATCCAGCAACCGTGTAGCTGCCAAGGAAACTGAAACTTAAAGGGATCACTGGAACGGCAGGCAGATATCTCTCCACGCTCATTAATTGTGTGGACGTGATGCCCTCTGGCTCAGCTGGAATAAGGAGCATCTTTGCCACAAGGGGGCCGGGACAGTGGGACACAGGCAGTGGTGTTTACTCCCGGTCATCCACACCATATTTTTCCAAAGAAAACAAGTGTTTTCAGGCAGAACATACCCGTCCATGGTCTGTTTAAATTCCTACAAATACGATTGCCAAAAAAAAAAAAAAAAAAAAAAAAAGTTAGTGTGATTTCCAGAAAGGCAGATGGCTAAGAAATAGGCATATTCATGAAGAAAAGCAGAATACGGCTGCTTACTTTGAAGAAGATGAAAATATCTGGTTGCTCTCTCATCTTCTGCAAAGACTGAAGATGCTGTGCAGCCTCAGCTTTCCTCTGCTCCATTTCATTCTTCACTGTGGTGATATCTGCCAGTTGTTCTTTCTCACTGGCCTGAATGTCACTCAAGATCTTCTTCTCTTTCTGAATGATCTCTGTCTTCATCTCTTCAAACAGCTTCTGCAGCTGAGAAGTCACTGTTTTCGTATTGGTCTAAATGAGCAGATAAGAAAATGGTGCACTGGGTCAGAAACCCAACACTTCAGCTCAATGTCGCTGTTTATTAATTAGGATTGTATCTAGCCTTTGCACTGGCTTTAGAAGGAAGCAGACAAGCATTCACTTAGAATATCTGATTAAACAGAGGGTTATGAAAATTATCTTGCTATAGTAACAAAAATCAGATATAATTCAGCTAGCAATATGAGAACTGTATCGGTACGCACTGAAAATCCCACTTGTAGACTCAAATTGTTTTTCTTTTATTTATCAGGCAGCAAACTTTAAAAATATATGATGTTAGGTACAATCTGTGGTCTGCCAGTCCTGCAACCTGGTCCACGCAACCACAAAAATGGTGGAGTCTCCCAGCTGGTTCCTCCTGTGGAACTGTGCTAGGAGGCTGTGAAACTGCTTGGCAGTTTCTTGCACCAGTGTTTTCCCTGCCTTGGACTGTATCTCCTTCTATTCATCTGCTTCTAACAGTATGTTAGAAGATAAGCAGATAAGTGTAAGTTGCCATCACTTATTTCTTAGAAATGGTAAAGGAAAAATGCACTGAATTAGTGACAATCTGGGTACCAACCTTGAGCTGATCCTCATTTTTCTGAAGCTCTTCTAGGGCAGTAGCTAAAGCGCTTTTACGTTCGTGCAGCCAGGTCACGACATCCGAGAGTTCACCCTGGCAGAAGGAAAGACAGCACTGAACTTCACAGCATCTTTTCTGAAGATCAGCCGAACAGCGGTACTTACTTACCCAGCTGTTTATTTTAACCAGTACCCCAATCATTGAGTGCTGCTATACTGCACGATAACACATTTCAGAGGGGACATTAAACCTCATTTTTTGAGGATTAGACAGCGTCTGAATGGTCTGGTTGGCCCTGGCTGCCACCAGCAGTGTTTTCATACCTCGAGCATGGCACCTGGCCACCGCAGACACAGCTGCCAGATTCCAATTTCTTTAATAAAAACTATGGCAAAAAACTTAGCTCCTCCATGAGATAGTTATCACAGCTGGAAAATTTTAATTTTTGAAAAATTAAAAGACATATAAACAAATTTGACAGAGGTTCCTTGCAGTAAAACCCTTCCATAATTCTTCCTGAAGAGCTGCGTTCCTCATTTCCCTGGCTTTCCTGAGGAGTTTAAAAAAAAAACCAAAACAACAAATGAGGTATATGCAGCTGAGATCTCCACTTACCACGGAGATGCCTTCCCCACAGACAGGGCAGTGTTGCTCCTTTACCAGCTCCAGGGATGAAGGAAATGGCTACTATCCTACACAGCCCACTTCTGTTTGGCAGCCCTGAATTTTTTATAGGTAACTTCGGGGAGAAAGTTAGTTTGCAATATGTATACTGGCAAGAGATGGCTCCTGCTAATTCCTGAGGAAGCTGTGTCCTGTCCTGAGGCCCAGAGTGTTTCCTGCCTGCGTGCTGGGTTGCTGCAGGGTGTTTTGTCTGGGCTCTGAAGTGAGCCCAGAAACTTAGGATGCAAGTGAGCATAGCAAATGCATTTTATCCCCTCAGTCTCTCTGGAGCATTTCAACAACAGCAGCTGGGTCCAAAGCAGGGACATCGAAGCCCCACGTCTGCTGGGACACTAGCTCAGCCAATCTCCGGGCTGAGGGAAGGGCGTCGAGTGGGAAAACCTTTTCCCAACCCAAAGTTCTGCAGTGGTGGGGTCCCAGAGGTTCTGGGGAGGAAAAATCTCCTTAATCCCCGCAGGAATACCTCTTAGTCCCAGCTGGGAACAGCCGGGAGAGCGGCATGTGCCAGTGGAGCCCCGTTCCTGCCCCTCGCTCGCTGCCCTGCTTGTGTGCCCACGTCAGCACTCTCTGAGCGTTCACCCACCCCTGTCCCCCCAGCCCCAAACACCTTTCCCCCTCTTCTCCCCCTGCTCGGCCTGCCAGGCTGCTCTGACAACACAAAGGAGGAAATGAAGAGCAAATGCACAACACACTGATGCTTGCTGGGACAGACATGAAACCCCCCGAGCTGCTGCCCACCTGCCCTCACCCCCTAGTCCCCATGCCCCGGTGGAAGCCTTACTGCCCCTCCTGCGGCTTCCCCCAAACCCTGCAGGGCCCGTGGGGGGAGGAGAGCCCCTTACCAGCTTTTTGTCATGTGCCTCCTTCAGGGTGATGATGCTGTGGCCCTTGTGGCTCCCCGAAATAGAGCAGAGCACGCAGATGTACTGTCCCTCGTCCTGGCAGTAGCCCTCCAGCAGCCGGCCGTGCTCCAGGCACCTCCTCAACTCTGCCGCACCATCTGCGCCTGCCTCCACCAGGACGTGGTCCTTGTGGGAAGCCTTGGCATTGTGTTTGTTCAGATGGGCCTGGCACAAAGACGCATCGCAGATCAGGCAGGTTTTCACCGCTGGCCGTGACCAATCCAGGCAGAAGTCACAGGGAACCACCTCTTTCTTCCCCTCTGGAGAGCCTTTGTCCTCTTGTCCTTTGGAAGTGCTGGCCAGAAATGTCTCCACGATGCTGCACAGCTGGAAGTTCTTCTGCAACTCCAGGATGGGCCCCAGCTGGAGCTTGCACATGGGGCAGGAGTAAGGGGCCTTGGATTGCTGCTGGGCACCGAGCGCCTTTTGGATGCACTGTCTGCAGAAGCTGTGACCACAGCTCACCGCCACTGGGTCCCTGTACAGGCACAGGCAGATGGGACAGCTGAGCTCGTCCTCCAGGCTGGCACCCCTTCCACATCCTTCCTTGGCTTTTGCCATGGCTGCAGAAATGGCGTATAAGCTGATCTGCGGGAAACGAAACTAGAGCCGTCCTTGGCACTGTGCCCGGGAGGCTGAAGGCCTCCCTCTGCCCTGTGACAGGCCAGCAAAGATACGCTCCCCATCCGGTCTCCACCCACAAACAACTCTTGTGCCATGTTTAGAGGTTTGCTCTAGACACAAGCCGCACCGCTCCTTGTGCGAGAGCAGGCTGGCGGGAGCAGGGGATGCCTGCATCTTGTGCACAGTCCTCCCAACAGCCCTCTGCCTTCCTGGAAAAATCCTCCATCCCACACCAGGGACAGCGAATTAAAGATAAACCCTGGAGGAGAAGAGTAGGGGCTGGGGTAAGCCAGGCATTTCCTCTACTTTGTCTGGTTCTTGGCCACAACAGTTACAGATGCTCCCCTAAAGGTAAATCGGGGAGAACCCAGGGGAATGTTTAACTGGGACTTGCTAAGGTTGGTCTCCTGCCAGCTGCCAGGGAACTGGGGGCTGATAAAAGCTCCCAGAAAGGCATTCCAGGATAGAATATCCCTGTACCGTGTCATGAACCTTCCTTTGTGCCCATAACACCTTAGAGCAGGCAGAGCAGCAGCTACTGCAGGTCCGTTTGGGAGACCCAACTCTACCTGCATGGTTTTACATATCATTTTGGTGTATAAAATGCAAAAGACAAAACACAGCCACTTTCTTCTACGACTGAACAAGGACTGCTTTCAGCATATGCAAAAGTGTAGTGTCCCCGAACATCTTTCACTGTCCCTGCCTGGGTGGAGAGCTCCTGCCTGGACTTCTTCACACAGGTACCCTGGCTCTGTTTGAAGGCAGCAGAACCACAGGCAGCAGGCAGGAATACCATCTCTTCCTCTCCAAGGTGTTTGGATGATCATTAGAGTGAAATAATCCAGTCCTCACATGGCAGAGACTAAAGGCACAGGAGTTTTCCTCATTACTACTCCCTTTGCTGTGACATTTTCACATAGGTGAGGAGAAAAACAAAAGTGACCAAGAGCTAGGTAGGTGATCTATCGGAGAGCTCACGGGGGAGGACAGCAGCAGAGAGCAAGGGAAACCAGGTATCTGACCACCTTGCCTCTACTCACCTCCCATGCCAGCTTTGCTTCTGTAACGGATGGCTTCGGTGGGGCAGGACAGGCAGAGGAGGGCAGAGGTAAAACCTGATGCGTTACAGCAAAGATCACGTCGCTGCTGCTTAGCTGTAGAGTGGTTAATGTTGTGCCGTCCCCTTTTTTAATAACCTACATTGCTGTTGAGTTTTGCAAACAGAATTGCTTTAATAACATGCAGCCATCACAGCATTTGATACAGCTGAGCAAAAAAGCACAACTTAACAGTATTTCCATCGTGATTAACAGAACAGGTCTTGCAGAGCTCTTTCAGTAAGTGGCAGTGTGCTGTCACACACCTCACAGAGACCTTGCCCTCACACAGATGAGTGGTCACAGCAACCCAAAATCCAGTATCTAACATGCCAGTTTAGCACAACCTCCACGCAGCAGCGGGCATAATAGCTATGTTGGGAAATACAAAATGGCACCGTGTCCTCACATCACTACAGGAGAGTCAGAGAGCCACCAGAGAGACCAAAGAGAGCATGGGTAGGATAGTCCAAAGGGACGCTTACTGTCATTATAGGCGTGAGGCTTTTAGCAGGATCTCCATCCATGGCAGACGCATTATAAAATGACAGCATATTTCTTCCGCAGTCCAGCTCAACCCTGACCACTTTGATGGCTGTAGGAAAGTTCTTACTGGTGATCACTGTGTTACCTAGGAACACACTGAGGTATTCATGAGACATCTGCAGGTAGGACTGACAGCTGGGAGTAACGATTCCAAGTTTCCAGTCCCTCGCATTGCTGGTGTCCACCTCCCAGAAGTGACAGCCCTCCGAGAAGCTCTGGTCACTCTGCACGTGTGACATGGAATTGCTTGTATGTGAGAACCCATACTGGAAAGAATTGCATGTGGGTGGAAAGACTACCTTGCTACTGGAAGCATATCCACCTCCTTGATACGTTGAAGTTGTCAGATGTTCATGAACTATAGAAAGAAAAAAACCCACATTACGATTAACAGATAATAGTGCAGATTTGCATTCATCCCTGTTGCTGAAAGCTGGTTTTCCCAATCCAAGTCATCCTGTCCAAGTCATCCACTTTGAGTCCAACACCCCCAAAGCATGTTAACTGAAACACCTTCTGCATCTCTCTGAGCTGCTCCTGTGTAATTCTAAAAGGGGCTGATACCAAATCTCGAGAAATGTTGCTCTTTCACAATTTTAAAGGGTCTTTTTGCTTCCAACCACAGCAACTCTTAGATTTTAGTTTTCCATCATTGTCCTGCAGAGCTTATTAAGCATTTTTAAAAATTCCCCAGATTAACTTCCATGTACAAGAAATGTGTGAACAGTAGCACAGCCATTTTGTAAAAGCTTATTTGTTTAGGAACACTGGAAGTTATTTTCTAGAACTCTCAAAACTTCCTGGCATGACCAGTCACAAGAAGTTAATTCTACACTCAGGAATTTGCAGAATGTTTTTATTCAAACCTTCTCTTGCAGGTAATGCACTTCAACATTGTGGCATTTTTTGCTCTAGAAGTTACTCCTCCAGGAAACTGAAACCGAGGCAGTGACCTGGGCAACTAACCAAAATTCCTCAGTTAGCATAATCAGGAAAACCTGGATCTGAGGCTTTCTAGCCAGAATAGGTCTGGACTACACTGACAGGGATGGTAGAGACTGAGCTCAGGAGTGGCCTTGAGCACAGTGTGCTTCTCCGTGTACCCAAGGCTGTATGGACGGTGGTCAGTTAGGCGTGCGGGTCATGGACGGTCGCACACACTCTGGACAGAGCTTTTGCCCCCCAGCTGTTTCTCTGTCTTAACCCTAGGCTCACTGTCAGCAAGGGCTCAAGCACCACTGAGACAGCCATAATGAGGGAACCCTACTGTTTTCGATTCAGTTGGACAAGCATTCCACTATGGACATGGGACTCTGGCTGATCTTACAAAACATTACAAAAGAGCAGAATGCATAGAATATACAGAAATAGTAGATTATTTACACTGTAAGAGACAAACTCCACCTGCCACTGCTGTGTTCTCAGCTTTCCTCATGCTTTGATTCAATGTGATGCTACAGAGAGAAAACTTATTGCTATTCTCTTCTGCCAATCCTCCCATAAAACTCCTAGGACATGAGAACCTCTTTCCCACAGCCCATTTTAACAGGGTGTATTCAAGGCATGTCCCAAAGTGCTGAAGCCCAGGACAAACATCCTTTTATGTACATATATGTGAAAATAATTATACGGTGCTGGTAATCAGTTCTTCTAGAGGTACTTGGTGTCTTACTACAGTCCTCTCCTAAATATGTCTTGTTAGCTTCTCCTTGTTGCTTGTCACACAGTGAAATGATCACTTACCAGGAGGTGCTTTAAATAAGGACTGCATGTCCGAGAGAAACTGTCGGAAAAGCCTTAGACTAGCGTCTGTTGTTAATTCATCCAAAATAATGGGTGACGTTTGCAGCTTTACCCCAGCTTTTTTAGAAACTGGCTTGCGTTTCCTAAAACATGCAGAAAGACATCAGAAGAGCAGCAAGTCATCAGAAAACCATCACCGAGCCCATCCCTCAGCCAACAACTGCATGCCCCACTCCATACCTAGCCTCGACGGGAGATTACAGAAAGCAGCTTCTGTCCTCCCCTCCCTCTGCAGCTTTACTGGGAACTCTCCCTCTGACCGATCTTTCCCCAGAACCCCAGATCTCTTCAACATCATTAGGATGAAGTGGTGGGCTTCATCCTAATGTGGTGGAGGAACAGGGCTGGGCAGGCACTGGGAGAACGACTTGGGAGAAAAGCCATGAACTTGGCAGACTCGTGACTTCACTGCATGTCCCAGCTCCTGACGCATTTGCTTCCTTTTACAGAAGGCAATGTAACGTGGAGGACGACGCAGGATATCTAAGCACATCCATCCTTTGCATGCCCACCCAGGGACCTAAACATTCAGGAACTGCCCTCAGAATGGGTCTTGAGAATGGGTGTGGAGGGTACAGAAAATCAAGCCATGTTGTACATGAAGAGTCACACATGAGCTCTGTTAATATTCTGGGGCTTCCCCAGGTCTCTGAGGAAGCCAGGCTCAGTGTGCAGTCATTGTGGCCAAGGGGCAGCCAGGGTGAGCCTGTGGAGCTGTGGGCCTGCAGCGTGTGCAGGCTGGGCTAGCAGCCCCACGCTGCTGGGCTCTCCGTCACCTGAAGCAATATGAAATGCAATAGTGGACCACCTTGGGAAGAACCTACCTGGCTGCAATCTCTGCAAAAGCCTGTAAAAGACATTTGAAAGTAGAATTAGCATAGAGCAGGCAAAGGCCAGCCCAAGAGCTGCGTATCTCTGGGAAGGGAGATGCTGTTAGGTACCTTGACATACAGAAGTAGGTCCTTCTGATCTCTCAAAGCCTCTAGCTCCTGAACATCACTGCTGGCTGCATCCTTCCTCTCTTTTTGTTGTTGTAGCTGCGTCTGAATCTGAGAAAGTTGTTGCTCCTCGTTGCGACTGAGAGTTGTCAGGACCTCTTGTTTTTTGTTATCTAGCTGCAGATGCATGTCTTCAAAGAGGCTTTCCAGCCGATTCCTCCTCAGGCTCTCTTCACTCTATTAAGAAACACTTTCAAGGCTGTACGGGACTGAATTGTACATTTTCCACGCTAAATCTCATACAGAAAAGAGCCTGGTCTTTTCTGGGCTGAAAGGAGTAACTACTGCCTTAGTGCCTCTCTCTATGACAACGAACCAAGATGTCCCACTGACAGTAGAAAGGCCAAGTGTCATAAGTGGCCTTCCCCCGCATCTGGCACCTGACCAGAAAAAGATGAAGAAGTAGTATTTCTTGTACGATGCTTGCTGAAGACTTTCCACTATGCATATATTGCCTTATTCTGCACTGGTATTTTTCTACAGATACCCTGCCTTTGGTCCTTTTAAGGATGGGTTACTGTCTGCTACGCTGCCAGGCAGAACACTGCCAACAGGTACAGTTTTGTCTTCAGACTAGATGGGAACTTGTCCTTTTCCCAGCACCAGGACTTCTAGTCCCATCATATTTACTGGTGGAAGAAGGCACCTGCCAATTCTGCATAAGCAGAATGAACTAGGATTTGGAGACCGGCATTAAATACCCTGCTCTTTCAGAGCTTTTATATAGGTATTTGCATGCTGGGAGCAAAAGCCAGACACTTTAGAGCAATCCTTATGCCTACCAACTTCTTAGAACCATAGGCTAACCTAAAGGGATTTCTTGTTATAAAAAGAGGAGTAAAATCACTATAGCATGGTCTGTATCTTTTCTATAAGCATTTGAGAGTCTGCAAACCGACAAGGTTGAAGGGAAAAAAAAAAAAGGCAAGCCAATCAGGAGGCATGGACTTAACAGCAACTTTCAAGCTCAAAGGTTGTTTGGAAACTAAGAATGTACTTCCCAGACTGATAAGAAAGTTGTTTGTCATCCTCCCTCAAAGAAAAAAAACTAGAAAATATCTGAGAAACCACCCAGGAACCAAAAGAGCTTCAGAATCCATGATCTGGGGAAGCGCAAAAGAAAAACTTATCAGCTACCAGCACGCAACCATTCCCAAAGTGATGTGGGACCTCGGAACAAACCTTTACTTCCTCCTCTTGTTTCAGCAGGCTTGCTATGCTTTGATTCATCGCAGCTTCGTACGTTTTCACTGTTTTCAGAGTTTGAGGAAAAACACTCTATAAAAATAACCAGAGGGAGATAAGAGGATAAGACTGACGTACGTGCAGGAGATCAGCAATTTTATGGAAATGCGTTAGGTCGATACATAAAGCTTTGCTGGAAGTTTTTATCCTTGAACAGATACCACAATTACAAGTGTGGGTAATTCAAGGCATTTTGAAGCTGAAAACTCTTCATGTGCAACAGCCAGACATAAAGCTACTTCCAGTGCTGACAACTTCCTTTCTGTTACTCTGTCCCTAATTTTGTTTGTGTAAGCGCAGCTCAGGCCGATTTTCCGGCTCCAAAGTGCACTGAGGACTAACCGCGCAGCCACAAGCACTCGGTCCCACCAGTTTGGCTTCTCAAAATAGGAACAAAGAGTTTAACATCTTGGTTTATATCCCGAGGGGCAAGCCCAGAGGGAATCTGTGCAAAACTAGGGAAAAAAAGCCCGATATCCCAAACCAGAGATTTAGCCCCATCCTGAGGCCGCAGATCTGAAACTCGGGAGATGTTGCTGGCAGCTCTCCGTGCCACACCGCCCCCACCCCCCCTGGTTTTCCTAGTGAAATCTTTGCCCAGGTCACTGTGTCCTGGCAGCCTCTCACCTGCGCTTCGCCAAAAGCCTCCTCCAAAGTGGTGATCTTGTGGTTCTTGTGGGAGCTGGTCACGCAGCACAGCACGCAGATGCAGACCGAGTCCGTCTTGCAGTAGCACTCCAGCAGTTTGCCGTGCTGGGGGCATCTCCTCTCAGCCAAAAACTGAGCTTTGCAGGGCTCCATCAGGACGTGGTGTTTCAGGGGGCTCTTTGCGCTGTGCCTGCTGAGGTGGGCTTGGCACAAGGAGGCCTCGCAGCTCAGGCACGTCTTCATGGCTGGCTGGGGCTCCTGAAGGCAGAAATCGCACAGGACCACCTTGCCTTGCTCGTCAGAACTTTTCCCCTTCTCTTTGCCTTCCGCTTCAGGCTCTTTCTCTTCTTGATGAGGAGGAGCATCCAAAAACCTCTGCACGATGCTGCGGAGCTGGACGTTGGGCTGCAGCTCCATAGCGGGGTCTGCCTGGGTGTAGCACAGCGGGCAGTGGAAAGGGCCCTGCAGGCAACGCTGGTGGCTGTGATATGCCTCCTGGATGCACTCCTTGCAGAAGCTGTGGCCGCAGCACAGGGACACGGGGTTACTGTAAATTCCCAGGCAGATGGGACAGGTCAGCTCCTCCTCCAACCCGGGCACGGCAGCCGGCGCGGCCATGGGGCCGGCTGCCATACAGGCCCGAGTGGCAGAGGGAGGGCACTGCTGGGAAGAGAAACAGAAAGCGCTAGTGGAGGCAGGGAGGGAGCTGCTGCCTCCTCCCCCTTGCACGGGAAGGGCATCCCTCCGGGCCGCCCGCTTCCTGCATCCCAGCCGTGGGCCTCACCGGACGAACTCCCACGCGGGCAGCCCCGGCGCTTGGCCAGCGCCAGGCAAGCGGGGCGAGTAGCCACCCCCGCCTAGACGGGGAGGGCAGCAGCAGGGAATGGAGCCCTTGGCTTCCGTCTGCGCCCCGTGTAACTTCATCCCAGCCCCCTTGCAGATACTTCTTGAGGTGCCGCCGGGCAGTCCTCCCTCCTCGAAACCTGTCTCAGGGCCCACGGCTCCTTCTCCCTGCTTTTCCCTGCCCTCAGCGCCTGAGTGCAGAGAAGGAAGCCGGCAGCTGGGCGGGTGGGCCATGGCCCAGCCTCCCCGGGAGCTGGAAGAGGGCTGCTCCCTCTTTCCTCCTTGGAGTTGCTAAGTCTTAAACTTTAGTTTCTCCTAGAAACAAGAGGGAATAAAAGGCTCCTTCATTTCAGGAGGAGGGGAGAGGGGAGGATGGAGACAACTCATTTTTACCGTTCTAAAAGCTACTCCTTTCTCTGGTCTCTCTGTCCCATTATTCTGAGAAGCTCTTGGCACAAAACACGCTGCCAGTCAGGGTCCTAGAAAAAAATGGTTCCTGCGAGCCTCCTGTGGCAAAGACCTTGCTGCCCGTGGTGCTTGCAAAGGTTGGTGATACTGGGCTGCTCTGGCTGCGCCGGGGTTCCTGAGGCCTTGTTAGAGACGTGCCACTTGAACCAAGTGAGAGTCCTGAGCTGCTGCCCAGGCAAGGACTCTGTACTTGGCTAAATGCCTAGAGGAACAATAGTTATTTTAGTTATTTTACAATAATTCAACATACAAGTCTCTTCCCAATGATACGGCCTCAGTCCTCTCTGACATGATGCACCTGCTGGGAGCTGGTAGAATTATTCTCTCCGTATCAGAGTGCAAGCTCATTTTCAGCTTACTGCCGACTACCTGCTCCCTAATGCTTTCTTATGACCTTGTCCCACCCAACAGGGATGTTTCAGACATTGGCTGTAATTTTCAAGTGATGTTTCTTATTATCATTCCTAACCACTCTGTGTTCTTTATCGTTATTTTTCTCTCCTCCATGGGGTTTGTGGCTTCACACTTCACTACTGCTAATCTCTTTTCCACAGTTGTCTTGAACATGACTGACATGGTATGCAGTGCTCACCTGGCCTTGCTTTTCCCCCAAAGCACATGAAACTGCTGTTTTCCATTGCCCTTCCCCACCTCCTCCAGCATGGCTGAACTTGCATTTGCAAGCCCTGCTCTTAGCACACGTGGCACCGCCCAACCGCCACGCTGCTGCGTGCATCCCAACCCCAAAGCCTGGTGCTGCATAGGAAAAATCCTCTGTTTGATCTGCTTGGAGCCTGAGGGCTGCAGAAGGGTTTGCTCCCCACGGGAGCCTGTGGGGATTCTGTGGCTCGCTCTGGCTTACTTGCTGTGCCTTGCTTGCAGAGACAGGCTGAGACAAGCTGCTGCTTCACCACAGCCTCCTGCTGCAGCCAGTGGCAGCCTTGCTGCTGCACATGCTGCCTGCAAATCGCCTAGCCTAAAACCTTCTTTTTTTTCCCTTTCATTAAAATTCTTAATCCTTTCATTTAAGAAAATTAGTTTCCTTAATTTCCTCCAGGAGTTTGGATAGCCAGCAGACACTAGAAGCTGCAGGTGACAGCCACTGTAAATAACCTGCTGGTATCTCCTGGGCTGCTCGCGGGCAGCCTGCGTGGCAAAACAGTGCACGGGCACAGTCAAACACTGATGTGGGGACCCTCCCACTGGCAGCACTGGAGGGAGGGTAGATTCAGTAGCAGGAACAGAGCTTATACCAGAAGCACTGTGGAGAGAGTAATAGCTAGTTGCCAGATGCGTTTATTTTTCTGTATAATCTTTAAACACAATGGTATTTCAGTGCTGGTTGTCTTTGACTGATTGCAAAATCCCAGCAGAGCAAACCTGGACTTCTGTTTCCTGGAAGTAAACATGAAGGTGAGCTGAACCCAAGTGAGGATGCTCAGAGCAGCATACCTCCCTCCGCTGCCCGAGTGCTCCGAGAGCCCCACGTTGCAGGGGATTGCATGAGTTGTTGTCTTTTCTCCTTGGACTGCTGAGTTGCTGCCTGGAGCTGACTTTCACTACCTCACAGTGATGAATGGACATGGTGGTGGTGATGAAAGCCAGGGCCCGAACCATGAGTTCACCCGTTCAGCAGCGGTGAGCCAACTCTTGCCCTGCCTTTCTGCAGACAGACATCGCTATTGTGCAGACCCACTGCAATAAAGTCTCCGAGCGACCCAAACCCAGTGCAAGCCGGTGACAGACAGCGTGTGCCAGGCTCCAGGGCAATCTGACCCCTCTCCATGCCCTTCTCCAGTAGGTTCTGCATGGGCAGTCAGCCTTCGGTTGTTCAGGGGCTGCTGAGAGCCCTGCTCATCGCGTGTGTGCAGGCTGCTGGCCGGCAGGCAAGCAAGCAGAGGGCAGCTCCCAGCAAACCTGGGCTGCCCTGCTCTCTCCAGCTGTTCCTTCAGTGCTCAGCCTCCACCCAGGCAGCTGGTGGTGATGGAAGTACGACTGTAGGAGTAAGGAGGGGTCCTTGTGGATGACAAGCTGAAAGGGAAGCAGAGATGCTTAGAAAAGGAAAGAGGTGGCAGCCCCAGCACTGCTGTGGCACAGCACCTCACCCGTCGTGGCCACTGCTGGGGCAGATTTGCTCCTCCTGCCCTGGTCATCAAAGGGCCTGTTCAGCCAACACCAAGTGTGGCCCACCATGCACCGCCTGCAGACGTAGACAGCTGGAAATGCTCCCTCAGGGCCTGCAGGATGGTGGGGTTTTGGGGTAGCAGGGTAGTGCTAGAAAAGCCAGTGGGGAAAGGATAGTGCCTGCTTACCTGCAGGAGGTTGCTGAGAAACAGGAGGGGTCTATTTCTGAGTTTGAAAAGGTATTTGGAGGCAGAGACAGCAGAAAAATTGAAACATATCCAGCCGGGGACTGAAGGGGAGAGAAAGAAGGAACAGAGATTGCAGAACCCAAAACCAACAGCACCTGAAGGAAGGTCTCCACCAACATTTAAAGGCACACAGTAAGTGCATGAGTTGCAGGTGCTTTAGGAAGAGAGATGCAAAGCTTGGGAGGGGTGGGGAAGGAAAGCA